AGTTCGAACTGGTAAGGAGTCGAACTGTCCCAAATTGGAACGCTGCCTGCAACAGAGCGCGCAAGAAAGCACACACAAAACAGCGTACCAATTTGGGACAGTTCGACTCCTTACCAGTTCGAACTTGTAACAGTTCGATTCTGTCCGCGTTCTGTTCTGGTACGTGTGCGAAAAAAGGACTTTTCTGAATTGAATCTCTTCGATTTTAGGTCTGTTCGATTTTGAAAACGTTCGAATTCGTCGTACCCCCGAGCAGACCCAGAAATTCAGTAGGATTGAGCGCTTATGTGAGTCCAAAACTGGACCATAACCGCGTTTACCATTGCGTTATTTTAGGCTCCATCTCAACAAATCGACCTCGACAATAACGGAAATGAGCTCGGAAGGAAGCCTGAATCTCTATCTAAATCGTCAAACAAACAGGTACAGTACTCCATAACTCACAAAAATCTGGGCGGAGGCTAATTTGAAAAAAAATTATAGATCAAAACTTGACATCTTCCGAACGCGTTGTCGATGTTCGCTGCTGATTTTAATATTGTTCCTCACTTGTTGTTTTTTTCTGCTAAAATCGAATATCTCTGTTTTTGTTTTGTTTTATTTTTCGTTTTGTTGCTTATTGCTGTAAATTTATTGCTTTAAAAATGCGAAAATAATAAAAACATGAAATTAGCTCTGCCCGCATCCCCTTATGATCCGATAACTCCCTATATTCATCCGTTTTCAGTCCTTCAACAGTTACTGGGAGGAAGATGATGACAGTGAGAAGTGGGATGAGGCGATTCCATTGATTGAACAAGAAGACCCACTGGGAACATTTGTCCTGCGAACTTTTCCCGAAATGTTTTTTTTTCCAGTCCCACGACACAGAAGAAGTTGTAGAAGAGATTGGAATTAATCCCGAGGAAGAAAAAGGAAAATCTCTGGAAGGCGACGACTTCTACAAAAAGAATCCAGAAGCCGAGAAATTGGAGATCAAAAAAGAGAAACCGCTGGAAATGGTGACTGATTAACAACATGAATAGGCTCCGCCCCCTTTTTACTAGCTCCATCATTTTCACTGTTTGTTCTCTTTTCCAGGTCTCTGACGACACATTTACTATTGAGCCATGTGTTCTGAAGACACAGTCGGAAGAAGAGAATTCAGTGAGAGAGGAAACTCCGCCCATTGTTGAACCTGTAGTAGTTCAATCCGTTTCCGTTGGGAAAACTTTGGTTAGAATTTTGCCCGAAATATAATTCCACCTTGAATCGAATTGTTTTAGGAAGAAGTCTCAGATGAGAAACCCGTGGAAGAGCATGAATCTCGGCCATGGCCACCGCCAAATCGTTTGAGGCCAAGAAGAGTCAAAAGTCGTCCAGAACCAACGAGCGATTTCGTTCAATCAGTTTTCAGTGAAGTACTTTTGTGTTCGAATTTTGGAAGGGGCGGAGCCAGAATGAAGCGAAAATGAAGCAATGTGGACCCAAAATAATCATTCCAATATTTAAGTTTTTTAGGCCGCTGTTTCCCATTTTTCAAGAAATCTCACCCGTTTTATCATTTTTTTCTTGTTGATTTTTACAATTTTTTATCTGCACATTTCTGTAAAGATCCCAATTTTTACGAAGTTTTATCTATGCATGATCTCTGAACTATTCCCAATTTCCTTGTAATTTTCATACTGAACTTCTGCAGCACTTGTACCTAATAATGAATCTGTTTTTGGGGATATTTTGAGAACTTTTTTCGAAATATCGGCAAAAAAACATAAGTTATTAGCTTACAGTAGCAAAAAAGATGATGATGCTATTGATTTAAATCAATAAATTAGAAAAAATAGAAGAAACCCACAAATCCCGTGATTTTCAGAAGCAGACTGGAAAACGAAAGGATTTGGGAAAAAGGTTAGAACAAAACTACTGCACTTCGGAAAAGAATCAAAAGGCAAGATGTGAGAAGTTTTCAGGAAAATATTGAATGTCACTAAATGCGCTCCGTTGCGAATTTTTAGAAGTTTTGAAAGAATCCAAAAGAGCGCATTTGATGACGGTGAAGAATTAGAATTAAATACAACGATCTGAGAAAGAAACCGAAAAAAGATAGAACCCAACACAAATAGACCGAAAATATGGAATGAAAAATTCAAGAAATCTAAAGCGAATTTAAAGATCATCGCGATTCTGTCCATCTTCTTCTTCTTCAAAATTCCATTCAAATCCTCCTGGCCTCAGATCTTCAGCTACTGGTTCTGGACGTCTTTCATCAAAAAGAAAGCACATCCATTGAGGTGTCTTCAGGAAACGTTTTCCGTGTTCTTGATATGGAAAAACGTCTTCGAGGAAGAAATAGATGTGACCACATGCGATTCCTAAAAAAAACCATTAATTTCAGATATCCCTTTACGAAACTAACCCATAAAATCAACAACAGCATTATTTCCGAGAAGAAGCGAGAAAAGAAGAAGAACCCATGGAAGATAAGGAGCCGTGAATGTGAGAACTCCAAAGAAATTCATTTGAATATTCGGATTTCGACGACTCCAGATATAGACAGCATGATGGTGAAGGCTTGGCCGAGAAACAAGATTTGAACAAAAATTCCAGAGAGAATCTGGAAACAATGTTTAGGATTATTTCTCCTAATTCCATTCCTGATAGGAAGGATTTCAACGTTACTAACCATCAGAACGGCGCCAAACAAGAACATGTAGACGAAATCGGCACGTCTTCCACGGAACGACCCCTCTTCCAACATCATACAATAACGATAAGTGAATATCATATTGAAGAGAAATGAGAATCCAAATGATCCGAAGAAACAGAATGATGTGATCAGACGCCAGAATTGATATTTTCGAACGATGAGCTCCCAATTGAAGTATAAATGAAAGGGAGTCACGAACTCGAGATGCTGAAAAAACGAATTGGAAGATCAGAACGTTTGAATTAGCAAGACATTGAAAAACTCAAGAGGCTTGATGCTCAAAACTGAGAATTTTGTTGAATAGTACGAAAATCAGTGTTTCGTACTTTCAAAAACTTAGATCATAGAAAAGATAACTTTTCTAATTTTTTGATGTTCTAACTTTCCCTTGAATCAAATTTTCTAGATAATAGAGAAGGGAGTACTTACCACGGCGGTAGTGAGAAGAACACATGCTCCGGTGTAGAACCGTGTCACCGGCGGCATTTCTTCCAGTGCCGCAACTATTCCGTTCATCTGAAAAATGAAAAAAATACAGTGAAACAGAAAGCCGGGCCATGAGAGAAACGGTAGGTAGAAAATATTTAATGAACAAGTTACCGTAAAACCTCTAATAGAAC